TACTTGAGTTACCCAATTAAATCCTCTGATCAACTTAGTGCTATCGGATATTCTACCCTAAAGAGGAACTGCCGCTAAGGCCCCTTAGAACTACTTTATCCTCGTGGTAAACCTACTAGAGCGGTCTATGTCCTACACATATATCACCTAGATTTTTCAGTAACTTACGTCTAGGCTACGACCAAGTACTTGCAGTATTTCTTCACTACCGTTACCTACTCTTTGCCCTTGCAAAGTTCACCCAAACCCCAGTACACACTTTACAGACTCGCACTGACTTTCTTTCACCAATCGCATTCCAAACTCCCAATTCAGATAGCCCAGAGAGGAACCAGTAGGCGTCCTCTTGGTATTCTGATTGAATCCTTTTCCTCGTTTATACAGGGCACATCCCTATATACTCGCGGCCTAGTTGGTATTAGTGTCTTGCCAAACACCTGGTCCTCGTCCGGTTTTATAGTCGATATCCGATTGCTGATGATTGTCCTTTATGTAGTACCATCAAAGATTTGTGCTACATCTCTACTCGGGACTTGCCAAGCGGGCTTCCATATACCATAAGCCCGAACCGTAGATTTACATGATTAATACAGGTGTTCAAACTACACAAAAAGTTGAATCATATAATAATATTATTATCAAAAAGCATGCTAATAGTACATTATCTCTATTTAAACTAAGTAATACAATTAAAAGGTTGCTTGTTAAGAAGGATCAGTATCAGCATTTTAATGAAGTTGTAGGTGTTCTACAGAACATTTACAATAAAGACTATTATTGTAGATATTATAAAGCAGTTGATGAATCATATCAAAAGTTTTTAACAACTGCAATTCTTAAAATTCAATGCCGTAAAATAAACTGCAGTATTCACTATTAGGCACAATTAATAAATTTGGAAGATGAACTTATGAATTAGGCATGTTTTCTTATTTTTGAATAAACAAATTTATTTATTTCTTTATAGTATTTTTTTAACTATAACTAACTAGTTCTTTTTGTAGTTAACTGCTGATATGCTAACAGAAATATTTACTGAAGATATATATACTGCATGCTTAAACAACTTATTATTAACTTAGATCGTACAAGTATTCATAAGGTCTGGATGGTTTTATCAATTGATATAAAAAGTCGACATTTTGTAATCTTATATGATGAAGCAATACATCTTTGTACTTGGCTAATATTAATTAACCATAGTATTTCTTGTCACCATTTTTTTGCTATAATGTTATTATTAAAAGGCCCCAAATTTCATATTGAGCTTGTATTATGCTGATAGTATTTAAATAAAGTAGTTTGCAAAACTGATATATATATTGCAAGTGAGTCTATGTTTTCAACAATAGCTAATGAGCAGTTTGGATTATTTAAGCACAATTTATATGTTAACTTTGTTCATTTTGATAATATTTGTGATAGCCATATTTTTACTAATAAGGTTCATAATGAAATGTCATACAAAAAATGTTGAGATAAGGGTTTAGCATTATGAGGAAGACCCTTGATTTAGCAATTACAACAGAAAGATATGATGAACTATATAAAATGCATATTAACCTTTCAAGAGAAATAGAGATAGAACTCATAACAAACAATAGATATAATGTTTTAGATGACGATTCTGTCAAATTTGCAACTATGATTAACAATCTAATTAGCATTAATTCAAAGGATCTGAAACCAAAAAATACAAAGAATAATAACAAAGAGAATATAAATAATACAAGCAAAATTAATTACAATAAAACTTTGAATGTTCAAAAAGATAAAATTACTAACTTAGAAGCTAATAGAAATGTTATTAGTTGTGAGAATGTATTTTATAGTTGTAGTGTGTGTGGTAAATCAGGTCATAATTTTCGAACATGCAATATGCATAGTACAAGTCAAAATGATCATAAAACAGAAATTTTAAATGCTACAAATATAGGTAAGTTTAGGGTTATATCATTTAAGTCAATTAATAGTTCAGTCAGGGATTTTACCAAATTAGAAAATCACATTCTAAAATGATCTATGAATGGATTCTTGAATTTGATTGGCTCTTACGTATCTTTACCTCTCAAAAATCGTACATCTTGAAAAAAAATTTTTTGATAATGATTATAGTCTAACAAGCTTTGAATATATAGTTCAGGACATCTAGTTTCAATAATTCTAAATAATCCCTTATAGCAAGCTCTTTTGATTAAAGTAAATAAAACGTAAAAACAGGTACGTACTTTATATAAAAAGTTAGAAATCGTCATCAGTTAACTTAAGATGACTTTGAAAATTTTTTTTATTTATATTTAAATGAAAAATTTAAAAATTTATTTATACTACAACAGTTATATTTTAATTTAATTATTATATAGGTATCTATATAGTTATGGAAAAAAACACTTAGGATAGTCAAAGTAGATTTAGATTGCAAATTGATATATAAGTGACGTTGTTAAATAATATTGCTTATATGGGGTAATATACCAGGAACGGAGTAATGCAATCACGAAGTGTATGGTTTATACGCTGTTTGGAGTAGGATTTGTCTGCAAAATCTTAAGTTTGATTGGTCCGCATGACTTATT